AAGTGTCGGGATATACATAGGTGTATAAAATCTACATATAACAGTGTCGATAAGAGTGTATATATAAATTGTTGATATATATATATATATATATATATATATATGTTCTAATATTATATGTTCTAAATTTGGGTATATGATGCCGACAGAATTATAAATTATTATTTCGATTATGCATTTCGCAGAATTGGCTTCATGAACTTGAAGGCGAAAAATGAGTTACCTGTGTATGTATTCGTGTATTTAAAAAAAAAATAATAACATCCCATATTTTTCTCAAGCTGACGTTGCCATTTTATAGTCACGATCCACGCCAGCTTGCGACGATCGTTTTACAATAACATATATATATATATATATATATATATATATATATATAATAATTCATCAAGTCTAGTAGAAACTTCAACAGAATGCATTAAGGATTTGACGGTCGTTTCGCACTACACTTGAGACTCACCAGCAGTGCGTATCCACTACAGAGAATTGAAACCCGGACTGCTATGATATCAAGCAAACATCCTACCAACTGTACCCGCGGGCCACGATGGCGAAGTGGTACTGAATTTGAGTCGATATAGCGCTACTCGATCACATATTCCGTGGTGGAACACATCCGAGTTTCCCTTACCTATAGGATTGTGGCCCCACGAACCAAGGCTACTACACCCAAGGCGCTCCATCCAGTGCATTAGAAGCCGGTTCAAGCAAGGATATACAAGTGATAGAAATTATAAGGAAGATTTGAGATAATTATAATTAAGTAATTCATTGAGTCTAGAAGAATCCTCAACAGAATGCAGAAAGCACTGGACGGCCATTTCGTCCTATATTTGGAACTACATCAGCAGTGCGCATCCACTATCGAGAATTGAAATCAGGCAAACGACATACCAACTGTACCAACGGGCCTCGGTGCTAAAGAGGTAGCGAATTAGATTCGATATAGCGTCGCTCGATCACATATTCCGTGGTGGAACTCATCCGAGTTTCCCTTACCCATAGGACCCACGAACCACAACTACTATCACCAAGCCGCTCCATCCAGAGCATTAGAAGACGGTTCAAGCAACGATCTACAAGTGATAGAAATTATTAGGAGGATTTGAGATAATCATAATTAATTCCTCGAGTCTAGAAGAATCCTCAACAGGATGCATTCTGTTGAGTCTTCTTCTTGACTCTATCATTCATTACCAACTTCTAGGTTTGTAACCTAGGAAAGGTTACTGAATAGAAATTCAGTAACTTTTCCTAGATTACAACAGCACATGAATCTAACGTTCTTTTACACGCCCACGTTAATGAAGTTTTGCTTTTGTTTACGTCTTCATTTTTTCAGTTGTAAATTTTTTCTTCGAAATAAAATTAAATTATTTATGGTCTATATACAAATTGTTATGTTATTTTATATTATTTGATAATTATCATTATTAATTAAATTATAATATTTGATTTAATTTGTTAGTAATATAATATTATAAATAAAATAAAATATTATAATTTAATTAATAATACGAATACAACATAAAATATTATAAAATATAATTTAATTAATAATACAAATTAAGAAATAATACAGCATAAATTATTTGTTTAAACGTTACTTTTAGAGTAGATGCTCTGTTTTTATTTATTTATTAAACAGTATATTTATTTATTTACATCTACTGAAATTTTGTTAACAAAATATGCGTCCTCGTTCGAACCTGCGCACCCCAGAAGAAACCCACATTAGATCTGACGTACCTTGACCATCTCTGGAACGTAGTGTCTTCTGATTAAGGAAAGCCTAAATAAATATTCGAAAACATATTTCTAACAAAATTTCAAACATTGAGGTTAAGATTGTAGTCTTCTAGGGAGCATTCACGCGGGAGTTTGTTTCACAAGGTAGACGTCTTTTGGAAGCGGCCTTTTAAGACAAAATGTTCCACAAGGTAGCGGTCCTTTGGAAGAGGCCTTTTGAGACAAACACCCTTGTTAGCAATATAATACATAGGGAATGAGGATGATCAACTCTGTGGTACATTCACGCTGTTTGATCCACAAGGTAACGGTCTTTTGAAAGAGGCCTTTTGAGACACACCGTTCCACGGAGTAACGGTCTTTTGGAAGAGACCTTTTCAGATAAACAACCTTGTTTGGAAAGGAATACGTAAGGAATGAGCATGATTCAAACCTGTGGATGTCGTTACCAGATAAATATGCGTCCTTCTTCGAATCTGAGTCCCCTAGAGGAAACCGTCATTAGATCTGACGTGCCTTAACCATCTCAGACACGTAGGACCTCCTGTTCAAACAAAGCCTGGATAATGCTTTTGAATACAGATTTCTAACAAAATTTCTCGATAAAGATAACGATCAAACATTGAGGTTAAGATTGTAGTTATCTGGGGAGCATTCACGTGGGAGTTTGTTCCACAAGTCCGCCGTCTTTTGGAAAAGGTATTTTCAGATAAACACTCTTCTTAGCAAAAGGATACATACGGAATGAGGATGATTCTACTGTGTGTAGCATTCAAGCTGTTTTATCCACAAGGTAACGGCCCTTTGGATGACGTCTTTTCACACAAACTGTCCCACAAGTTAACTACCTTTTGGAAGAGGCCTTTTGAGACAAACACCATTGTTAGCAAAAGAATACATAGGAAATGAGGACGATCAACTCTGTTGAGCATTTTCGCTGTTTGATCCACGAGGTAGCGGTCCTTTGGAAGAAGCCTTTTGAGACAAACACCCCTGTTGCCAAAAGAATACATAGGAAATGAGGACGATCAACTCTGTTGAGCATTTTCGCTGTTTGATCCACGAGGTAGCGGTCCTTTGGAAGAGGCCTTTTGAGACAAACACCCCTGTTGGCAAAAGAATACATAGGAAATGAGGATGATCAACTCTGTTGAGCATTTACGCTGTTTGATCCACGAGGTAGCGGTCCTTTGGAAGAGGCCTTTTGAGACAAACACCCCTGTTGGCAAAAGAATACATAGGAAATGAGGATGATCAACTCTGTTGAGCATTTACGCTATTTGATCCACGAGGTGAAGATTTACAAACACCCTGTTGGCAAAAAAAGAATACTAGGAAATTGATCAACTCTGTTGAGCATTTACGCTGTTTGATCCACGAGGTAGCGGTCCTTTGGAAGCGTCCTTTTGTGACAAACTGTTCCATAGCTGCCTTTTGGAAGTTGCCTTTTGAGACAAACAGCCTTGTTTGCAAAGGAATACGTAGGTAATGAGGATGATTTAACTATGCGGATGTATTTATAGTGTAGCGATAGGCTTCCGACATTGCGTCTGTGAGAAAAAAAATGTTTACAGGCTGGATGAATAAGTCATCCCCTTCAATTCTGTTGAAATTCCGACAATTATGTGCGAAAAAAAGTCTCTTCGCATTTTATTTTAAGATTAATAAATTTACAGAAATGTATGAAACTACGTTAATAGGAAATATAAAGAGAAACAGACTGATCCATATTTAATATCGATGCGCAAATTGTATATTACTAGCCATATCCCCCGTCTTACGAACATTTACCATCAATTATTATAAGGATAAATGTTCGTAAGTCGGGGGAGATCATTCAGCAGAAGATCGTATTTTATTTATTTTAACTGGATTTTTAGAGATTGTCTTATTCGGTTTCCGTCATTCGATACTGAGTGTTTGAAAAAATGCCGCTTTTATGTCGGTCGCTATCGCTTCTGGGTCTTTTGACTCGGCAAGGTTTAAATAATATTAAGCCCAAGCTCCAGGGATCTTCCGCCCAGGCTGTACCCCATCTTCGGAAGGGATTTTGGGATTATTGCTCAGCGTCCACGAAACTGGAAGTGTCGTGACGGCTTGGACAGTTTTTGCACGGTATTGGCGTTAAACCTACTTTAAACATCGACCTTGTTTCAGATATGGTGGCGATGTGGACGCGCTGAAAAATACCCTCAGCCTTTTGGCTAGGATCAATGTGTAGTGTCTGTCTGCAGGCGGATAGACTAAATTTCATCTATCCATTGTGTGTCTGTCTGCGGACAGAGAGCAATTGAAAATATTATCGAGAAGTGCCCGGTCCGGGGAAACAGCTACCCTCAACTGTACCCCTTCTCATTACTCCAAAGACGGGTGTGTCGGTAATAATACTGATGCCGGTAAAACCAACGGTTGCCTGGGCTGGACTGTTTTGGGGCCTGACCCGGTGGCACACATCCTAGCTCCTCATATTAAACTGACTTCAGTTACATAATTCCAGAGTAGGCGGGCAAGAAAATACAGTCGTTTTTCGGCCTTTATGTTATCTCTATCTGATCATAGATAGATAGATAGATAGAATAGATAGATAGAAAACAACATGTTCCTTCTCTGCCCCCTCCCTCAGACCACGTTCTGTCATCCACTTGCATAAAATCGGTAGATATGTCATGCGTTCTTTTCCTATGTCTCTCTTTCCCTCTGTTCGACCAGTGAGTATCAGATTCTCCAGGTACTCCTTCCTCATCATGTGAGCCAGGAACTTCAGCTGCCTCTTCTTGATGTTTAGTATAAGCCTCCTCCCTACTCCTTGTTTGCATCCTCTCTAAGGGTGTGTGTCTCAAATGGCCTCTTCCAAAAGACGGCTACGTTGTGGATGAAACTCCCGCGTGAATCATCCTCATTCTGATGTGTAGTATCTGTCTTCAGGCAGATAGACTCCACTTCATCTCTCTGTTGTGTGTCTGTCTGTGAACAGAGAGCAATTGAAAATATCATCGAGAAGTGACCGGTCCGGGGACTGTGCCCCTCTCATTACACTAAAGACGTGGGTGTCGGTAATAATACTGATGCCAGCAAAACCAATGGTTGCGTGGGCTGGATTGTTTTTGAACCTGGCCCGGTGGCACACGCTCGAGTTTTCCCACATTAAACTGACTTTCTTTCACATCCTGGGGCGGCGAGAAAATACAATCGTTTCTCTCCCTTTTTGGCTAAGAACAAACTGTAGTATCTGTTCTCATCAGCTTAATCAGATTCTATCTCTCTCGACATCTATCTTCCCTTCTTTCTTTCTTTCTTTCTTTCTTTCTTTCTTTCTTTCTTTCTTTCTTTCTTTCTTTTTTCTCAATGAAACCAAGTAGTATTCGTCCCAACTTCTTTCCACGCAATCAAAACGAAATTGTTCATAATCTATGAGGTGTTGGCAGGACGTAACGAGCTAACGAATGAAGGTGCAAGCAGAATTATGATGGGAAATGTATTGTCGATCTCTTCAGGTGAGGAACAGAATGATTCATAAAGTGATATTTCTTCAGTATGCGTTTTTTTTTTAAAAAGAATAATGGTACGGACAAAACCAAAAACAACAAAAAAAAAGAAAAGAAAAAACAAAACAAAAACAAACCCCCAAAAAAACAAATCCCAAAACAACGAGATAATGACGTAAATAACAACAACAACAATAATAATGATAATAATAATGATAATAAAGAAGAAGGAGGAGGAGCAGAATGAGGCGAGGCATGAGTAAGGCAAATGACGCAAATCGACTGTTAAAGAGACTGTGTAGGAAGGTAAAGCAAAAGTGAACGTCTATATCAAATGTCTAAATTCACGCATGCGTACACAGAAGAAGCGCTGTGCCCCCACCACTTAGTGTATATAAGCACTTTGCAGTCTTTTCATCTATTCACGAAGAGACCCTTCTATTCCAGTCTGTTTATATCGACTAGTTTGTCTGTTTGTTAGTCTTTGTATCTCACCACGTCTGGCAAGACACCCACACAAAATACACACACGCACAGACATGCACATATATATATTGTTTGCGTTTTATTTTATTTTCTCTTTTTTAATACATTTGTTGATTTTTTTTTGTTATTTGTTTGTTTTTCCCTGTCAAGCAAAGTAATAACATTAGTAGAGATGAGACTAACCGATTCCATGCAAGAAACATTCGATAGTCATTGATCAAACATTGTTAATCTCGTTTGAAATTTGCAAAATATTTTCTTAAAACAGTATTTTAGAAAATCAGATTTTTTAAATTAAAAGTTAAACATCTTTCTAATATTAATTCCTACAGTAAAATCATTTCCAACGCATTCTTATAGTAAAATCATTTCCAACGCATTCTTATAGTAAAATCATTTCCAACGCATTCTTATAGTAAAATCATTTCCAACGCATTCTTATAGTAAAATCATTTCCAACACATTCTTATAGTAAAATCATTTCCAATGCATTTTTATAATAAAATCATTTCCAATGCATTCTTATAGCAAAATCATTTCTAACGCATTTTTATAATAAAATCATTTCCAATGCATTCTTATAGTAAAATCATTTCCAATGCATTCTTATAGTAAAATCATTTCCAATGCATTTTTATAATAAAATCATTTCCAACGCATTCTTATAGTAAAATCATTTCCAACGCATTCTTATAGTAAAATCATTTCCAATGCATTTTTATAATAAAATCATTTCCAATGCATTCTTATAGTAAAATCATTTCCAATGTATTCTTATAATAAAATCATTTCCAATGCATTCTTATAGTAAAATCATTTCCAATGCATTTTGATAATAAAATCATTTCCAACGCATTCTTATAGTAAAATCATTTCTAACGCATTCTTATAGTAAAATCATTTCCAACGCATTCTTATAGTAAAATCATTTCCAATGCATTTTTATAATAAAATCATATCCAATGCATTCTTATATTAAAATCATTTCCAATGCATTCTTATAATAAAATCATTTCCAATGTATTCTTATAGTAAAATCATTTCCAATGCATTCTTATAGTAAAATCATTTCCAATGCATTTTTATAATAAAATCATTTTTCTTATAATAAAATCATTTCCAACGCATTCTTATAGTAAAATCATTTCAATGCATTTTGATAATAAAATCATTTCAACGCATTCTTATAGTAAAATCATTTCTAACGCATTCTTATAGTAAAATCATTTCCAACGCATTCTTATAGTAAAATCATTTCCAATGCATTTTTATAATAAAATCATATCAATGCAATGCAAAATCTTTCTTATAATAAAATCATTTCAATGTATTCTTATAATAAAATCATTTCCAATGCATTCTTATAGTAAAATCATTTCCAATGCATTTTTTATAATAAAATCATTTCAACGCATTCTTATAGTAAAATCATTTCCAACGCATTCTTATAGTAAAATCATTTCCAATGCATTTTTAAATAAAATCATTTCAATGCATTCTTATAGTAAAATCATTTCCAATGTATTCTTATAATAAAATCATTTCCAATGCATTCTTATAGCAAATCATTTCCAATGCATTTTGATAATAAAATCATTTCCAACGCATTCTTATAGTAAAATCATTTCTAACGCATTCTTAACATTTCATTCTTATAGTAAAATCATTTCCAATGCATTTTATAATAAAATCATATCAATGCATTCTTATATTAAAATCATTTCCAATGCATTCTTATAATAAAATCATTTCCAATGTATTCTTATAGTAAAATCATTTCCAATGCTTTCTTACAGTAAAACTATTTACAATGCATTCTTATAGTAAAACCATTTCCAATATATTCTTATAGTAAAATCATTTTCAATGCATTCTTATAGTAAAATCCTTTCCAATGCAATCTTATAGTAAAATCATTTCCAATGCATTCTTATAGTAAAATCATTTTCAATGCATTTTTATAGTAAAATCATTTCCAATGCATTCTTATAGTAAAAATAGTTACTGTCATTTTTTTCATCATTTCACCCCATTCAAGGTAGTGATGTCACTAAGTCGCAAGCGCATACTGGTTGAGAACGTGTGTAAGAAATCTTTAGAGTGAACGGGAAAACCCACACGAAAAAGGAAACAAGAAATGTACATTTCAATTGTTGCCCATTTTAGTGTAGAATTATAAAATTTATAATCAAAACTTCAATTTGAAAAATCGTATGATTTTCTTTAATCGCATTGTCGGAAACTTTCATATGAATATTGATTAGGTGGCACTAATTTCGTTCAGTAATGGCTTACGGCCACATCACATTGAAACACTGGTTCCCGTACGATTACCGAAGTTAAGGAACGTCGAGCCTGGTTAGTAGCTAGATGAGTGACCGCTTGGGAATACCAGGTACTGTAAGCATAGATATGTTTGTGGTTAAATGGATAATGGCTCGGAATTGTTAATCGTTGTGCCGAGTTCCAATTCCCATTGGCTTCGTAATATTCACTTACGCGCAAATAAATGTTAGGAACCACGTCTCCCCACCAGCTATGGGTTAATTAGTGAGACTTGTATTACTAAATCATTATTATCTCCCCCAAAATTCTTACAGTCTAAAAATATTTTCTGGCTTTAAATAACCTTGAAAATGATTGATTTTAATATAGAATTGATCCCCCACTTTACATCCACGTTATAATTTCTTGTTTGTTGATAAGCCGTAGAAAACGAAACAATCAATCAACGCAGGCATGTTTTTTAGATTTATTTCCATTCTCTGGAATATAAATGTATAGAATCTACCGTGGCGAAAAAGTGGGGGATCAGTTTATATATTGATTTTTTATATAGAATTAGTCCCCCACTTTATATTCACATTATAATTTCTTGTTTGTTGATAAACCATAAAAAACGAAGCAAACATCAATGAAATACTGATTACCTACACAAGTATGACTTATAGATTAATTTACCCGCCTATATTTCTAAGATGAGATATTATGTAGACTATTTACATTATTCGTACTATTGTCCTCATCTTTGTCGTCATATTTATTACAACGCAAGGACACATAGCACAGTGCATAAAGGCGTTGGTTAGATCGAGTGACAGGACCCAAAGAGTGCGAGTTCAATACCCGGTTAAGGCGGTGGAGAACATGGAGAGGGGAATTAACAGGATATAACTGATAACTGACATCCATTCGACATGGCACGTGGAACTAGAAGAGTTCACCCCAGCTAGTGAAATAAAAGGTTCAGTTCGGCATTCCAGCTACCTGAAGAAGGCTGGGGCGTACAACGGCCGAAACATTGTGACAAATATGGCAACAAAGACGAGGATGATAGTCCGAACAATGTAAATAGTGTAGATTTATTTACATTCTCTGGAACATAAATGTATAGAAACTATCGTGGCGAATAAGTGAGGGATCAGTTTATATATTGATTTTAATATAGTACTGGTCTCCCAATTTATATCCACATTATATCGAGTAGTACAGGCTTAACACAAGGAATTAATCAGTAAAGTTAATGTAATTAATGGCGAATTCACTTTGCTAACAGATTTAATTAATTTACTAACCACTCGTTAAATGACGCGATCGTTATGTTTAAAATTGTAAGATGGATGAGATATTCCGTGTAAGCTAGTACTTTCAAAAGTCCTCAGATTTTCATCATCAGGCATTAGTATTTTTTTCGATTCAGGTAACTTCCAAGACGAAAATAAATGTATCGCACGCCTAAAGATGTTTATTTAACAGTGTGTTATTTATTAACGGTTACATAATCATACTTATTATAAAACCCAGGTTGTGTGTGTGTGTGTGTGTGTGTGTGTGTGTGTGTGTGTGTGTGTGTGTGTACGTTTATATATTGGATCGGATTTCCTACATTTTTCAACCGATTTCAACAAAAATTACGTAAAATTACCTTGAGGTGGTTCTGACAGCGCCAAAATTTGGAAAAACACAATAGTTTTTCCTCGAAATCAATTTGAAAACACGATTAAGAGGCATCGCGAGAATGAAAGGGGGACAACTCATATCGAGTTATACTTATTATAAAACCCAGGTTGTGTGTGTGTTCATTTATATGTGGGATCGGATTTCCTACATTTTTCCACTGATTTCAACAAAACTTCACTTTTTTTTTTTGGCAGGTAGTGTTTCTTATTGTCTTGCACACTTTTTTCTGTATTTTTACATACAGAATGCTTTAAAAATTCCATTTACAAGACAATTGTTTATAATAAAATTCTATTCAATCGGTAGACTCATAACGATTGAAAACAATGTTTTTGTTTGAGTTTGGGTTTGACCAATTCGTAAAAAAAAAAAAAAAAAACAAAACAAAAAAAAACTAAATAAGACATGCGTGTCCGTC